GGTAGCTTAGCTCCTAGAAAACAGCTAGAGGTTGCTTACATTCACGGTGTGGTGAAAATCAGACAAACAGTGACCTTCACAGCAAGACTAGTCGGAAAAGTTTGGGATGGGCTACAGTTCAGCCACCTTCTCCAGTTCCTTCCTCACTCCTGAGCCGAAGCTGTTGCTTTAAGCGCTCGGAAGCAGAACCTCTTTCCAAGAACGTGCGCAACGAGCAGAGCTCTGCGAGGGCCGTGACCCTGGAGAGGACGGCAGCGCCGAAGCCAGCACACCGAAGCAGAGTGCCTGTCCCCGGTCCCCCGAGCTCCTCCTGACAAACGGGCTGGCTGGGCAGCACCGTCCCAGCTGGCAGCACGGGGCAAAGCCTACCTGCAAGGCAGCCGGGACGTCGGGATCAGCAGATGGGCTGAAACTGCCTGCACATGCCCTTCGTTTTTTATCGGTGTACCTATTTCTCAGTGCCAGTAAGTAAAGATGGTTAAGAGTGCAACATTAATTCAACTGTAGAGACAAAAGATGTTTAACCTGTGCTTTAAAATGTCCACGTTTTGTACAACACTTGGGACTATTCAGGGCAGTTATGATTTCACACGCAAGCTGAATTCACGAACCACGCAGGAAATCCAGGCAGCAGGCTACTTTTTCTTGCAATTTTTGTGAAGTACTTTAGAAAGCACTTACAGATACGTGCCTAAGAATACACTTTCCTCTAAAAGGAATGACCTTTACCTCACATTCTACTTGCTTACCAGCCTTCACTGAGCGCAGCACACTTTGCTGTACGGTTGCTCAACGCACGTTCGTAACAAGAAGCCCCACAAATCACTGTAATTTCAAGAACTGCTTTGTGGGCCTGTGTCCCATTACAGCTGTATTATTGACCATGTTCCCAGATTCCCTGCTGCAAAACAACTATTTCAGCATCTCATCTAGTTCTTTTACTAGATATCAACTACTGTGCACCACTGAAAGGGGAAAAAAGACAAGGAACGATGTAGAAACGTGACACTTACTGCTGGCAAGGGAGAGGCTCGGCATAAGCCGATTTGTTGAAAAGCCAGTTCCTCTGCATTAATTGTCCGAGTTGCACAGTAACAAATCTTTGGTATTATCTAGGGCATATCAAAGAGTTACCTCCAATAGCGTGACAGTTTTCTTACCAGGAGCTTGCATATCTAAGGAAACAGTGCCAGCAGCACCGGGTAAGGAGAGAAGGCAGAAAAACCCGTGATAAGACAACACAGAAGAATCTCAATCACAAAATACCTGAGCAGGGAATACAGTTTCTCTGCCAACAGTTGGGATTTTGAGAGCTCACTGAAAACTTGCTGCTGTCCGTGCCCGGCAGGCTCTTTCGCTGCTGCGAGGGGAGCGTGCCAGCCAGCCACAGTTGTGCTCCACCACCCATCGCTTTCCTCCAGATCCAAGCGTGCGCAGCTGAAGTGAGCGTGGAAGTGCCACACGCCGAACTCTGGCCGCAGCAGACTATCTGCCCCAAAACCTCTTCTCTGCAAAATAACTTGCCTGCCGCTCGAGTTTTCCGTTTCAGAGCACAGCTGAGGTTGGAAGGCACCTCTGGAGAGCATCTAGTCCAACACCCATCCCGCCCACCTCCATGGATCCCAGTCAGGTTTAAAAGGAGACTCCGCAACCTCTCTGGGCCACCTGCTCCACTGTTTGACCGCCAGCACAGGAAAGGGTTTCTGTGATGGTTAAAAGGATTCTCTGGTATTTCCGTGTGTGCCCGTTCCCTCTCAGCCTGACAATGAGCACCACCGAGAGGAGTCTGTTTTCACTCCCTCTCCATCATACCCTTACACACTTCAGTAAGTTCCCTCCTGAACCTTCTGCAGGCTGAGCAGTCCCAGCTCCCTCCGCCTCTCCTCATACAACAAACAGGTACTCCACTTGTTAACCATCATCACGGCCTTCTGCTGGCCTTGCTCCAGTAAGTCCTGGATGAGGCGTTGAGCAACCTGGTCTAGGGGAAGGTGTCCCTGCCCATGGCAGGGGGGTTGGAACTAGATGATCTTTAAGGTCCCTTCCAACCCAAACCATCCTGTGATTCTAAGTCCAAGTCTCTCTTGTACCAAGGAAGCCCAGAAGTGGACCCAGCGTTCCAGATGTCTCATCAGATCCGCATGGAAAGCCTCACCTCCCTCAGCCTCGACCTAACGCATCCTGGGAGACCACGGCCACCTTTGTGGGCTGGCTCACAATCAACTTGTTAGCCCACCGTGACCCACAGCACTTTTGCAAAATTTTTGCATGGGCACGAGCTCCCCCTTCCTAAAGGGGTCGCGCTCGGCACCCAGGCATCACTCGGGTGGCGGGGGTTTCTTCCACACCCTCACTTCACCCTGCCCCAAAGGAGAGCTGGCGGGAGGCCCAGCCCCACTCCTGGCTCAGTACTGACTCAGCAGCAGGGAGAGGAAGCAAGCTCTGTAGTAACCAGGAACAAGTTTAGCAGGTTCCCAGGACTATCAAAGAAACATTCTTACAGTAAATGCTTTACTGTCAAAGCTTTCCTAAGAGCTTCCAAGAAGTTGGAAGCAGTAGATCGAAAAAACTGTATCCATTCTCAAAGTACAGAAAGCAATTTAAGAAGAGTGAGGAGAGCATGCCCTTTGGCCTTCCCTGCTTTCCCGCAGTGCTGCAGCACTACAGACGAGGCTACATCTGCCCAATCAGCCCTGCACAGGCATCCATGCATCACCATAGCCTATAGAAAGATTAGTCTTTTATTCATTTCTTGTTTTACAGATTCAGGTTCAGCTCTCCGTAATAAAGTTCAACAAATTGATTCCCTAATCATAAAAACTCATTTTACACGTTATGCACAGGTACCGGGACTACAGCCACACAGCGTGTCACAGCTACACCGCGGACCTTCTCCGAGATTGAGCTGGGGGCAGGCGCCGACGGCGGTGACACACTTTCGGAGTCCAGTTGTGGATACAGAGGGTGCGTTTTGGCACAGCCCACAGTTTGGCTGGACACTGCCCACACAGGGACAGTAAAACAATCCCTCCGAAGTGATAACGTGGATTCGTTCACCTGCGTTAATACCAGGAGGAAGACTTAATTTACAATTAAACTGGCCGTCAGAAGAGACTTGATGGCATTGAATCAAATGCAGCTGAACTAATCATTTTAGTTTCATTAAACATGGTTCTGTAGACAAATCCTAGACCTTGAGATCTGCCTCCAATATACAACAAGTCTTTGTCGCCGAGATATGCCAAAGTCGGAGGTGAGCTCAGGTGTCGGAAGTATTCTTTGGCAGTTTGATGCAAATATAAAAAACAGATTACTTTTGAGGACTAAACTAAGCTTTTCCCATTTTGTATCTTTACTGCCAGCACCAGAACGGCTTCAGTGATACGTAATGCAACATGCTAACCTAAACACCACCTGACATTGTAATGACACAAAATCCGTATGACAGATAAACTTCAATACTCAAGATTCCCTCGAGCGGGCCATCCGCTCCCCACAAAGAAGTCCAACACTCTGTGAGAAAAGCTTTCCCACGGCAATGACAGAACCCAGGACACACTGCACGACTGTTCACCTTCTCTGCGGTACAGCAGCTGGCAAACATCACAGACCAGCCTGCAAAAAGCAGCCTGCCATACTCAGAGCATTCCAACCCAGATGGAACGTTGTTCAATGTCAAAACCATCAGTCAATTTGATTAAACATCCCTTTCGCTTCTATGAGACAAAGCAGACCACCGATCTCGCCTCACCCGCCACCTGACCCTGGGATGGCAGGAAACCACAGCCAAGAGTTTACACAACCTCTTGGTAACATTACACCAAGCTACAACAGCTAACACCCACCGTGACAAAAAGCAGCAGACGCTCATCTGAAATCTGGCAATTCCCTTTTGAAAGCTGTTGTTTGTTGTTTCCCATTCAAGTGACACTGCCGATCCTGAATGGGGATAAAGCCAAGCTCATTTTGAAGGGGGTGGGATAAAAGGAAACACTTCCAGAACGAGGTGTCCAACAGCTCCACAGACTGCTGGGCAGAAGGCTGCAGTGTTACTCTCTGCAGTAACACAGCTCTAACTGCGCTGCTTTGGCCAAACGCTACTGCGGAGACTTTCAGATCACTTCCAACAGGAATCTGACTCCAATAGAGCGTTCCACAACAAAGACCGTTTAGCTAATGTATCTCGGTTTCAAGATACTCTAGTGCAACCCTGCTTCAACTTCCTCCTCGCCTGCTGCAGAACCCCATCCAGCTCGGAGCAAACCTACTAACAGGCTGAAGCAGCCACCGCTGGGTACAGGAGCACAAGTGGCCATGGAAATGGAGCTAGGCCGTTTTCAGGTTTTTCAGCAAGTGATGCCATAGCCAGCTTCTCACCTTACATGAGAATTTTATGGGTAAAGCAGATACACAAATACATAGCACCGTTTATGCTTATTCCCTATGGAAAACTGACCCAGCACTGAGAAGTTTTTCTCAGCGCTGCAGGACTACGTTGACTTGCCTCTTAAAAAAAAAAAAAAAAAAAGAGGACAGACAGTACCACACAGACTGCCTAATCCACTTAAGCACAGAAGCTTCCATTCCTTCTTATGGGATGTTTCCAGTATTTCTAGAACTTGGTACCTACTGCTGCCTTACACAGCACACAGCCAAGCAGCAGTCTGTTCTCACAGTTAACAAAACCGACACCTCTGGAATTCACCTATATAGTAAACCAAGTGATTATTAGCTCCGAAATGCCTGACCATGAAGAATTACAAAGAAATTAGCAGACATGAGAGTTCCTCCTTGGATTTAAAGGCCATCTGGGCACAGAACTCCTATTTATGTTGTCCTGCGGATTTCAGAAGAGTTAATTCTTGTGTGTTCTTTTGGTCACTTGGATGAAAATACAGGAGGGTAATTCAACTGGGATTGGCTTTGCTTATGGTAACTGTCTTTTTCACAAAGGAAATCTGAATTTCCCCTCCCACAGATTCTCACGCATTCACACAGACTCTCTAGAAAGGTAAGACACTTTATTGAATTTGTTGATAAATTAAGAAAGGGCTATGAACCAGACTTATGGATCACAGGTGCTTGTAAACAGACATCAATTCCTTCCCACAGGAAGCCTGACTCCATGTGCTCAGCCAGAAGTCACTTTCCCCAGCGTTGCTCACAGGCTGCATAGTGATGGAGGGCAGAGAAAAAGTCTTCATAGCTGACGTTCAGATGGGAAGGCAAAGAACTGAGAAAGCAAGTTAGAAAAGTTAAAATAAGCTTTTATAAACACCACACGATTCGTATGGCCAGGCAGCAATATTGTTACTTAAAGAAAGCTGTGGGCTGAGTAACCTTGTGAAACTGTTCTCAACACAGTTATTGACACTCAACTCTAATAACTGAACTGGCTGTCACCCCCCTAAATCAAAGCCTACTCGTTAGAGCACACAGGGCACTTCAAATTAGTGAAAAAGCTGGAAGAAGCACAGGTCTGCCCAGGCTTTTAAGTTACCTATCAGTGCTCTCAGATTTAAGAAATACAGCAACTCTACCCTGTTATTGCCAGAACTGGAAATTAGTCCTGAGGCATGATCATCTTACATACATTATCCTATTTCCCTTATATTCTTCGTTTCCCTGAGAGAAACTTGTGAGCCACTCAAAATCTCCCTAAGAAACACTGACACAGCTGGGACTGGGGCACCAACACTAAACAGTGACGGAAGCAGTTCCTTAAACCTGAAGCGTAAAGCCTGCTGTTGCCCGATCGTGGCTGAAGGGGCAACGGTGAATGTTTGACTGGTTTTGTTTAACAGTTTTTAAATATCCTCAAATCCAACTCCAGGCACCTTTGTTTAGGCAGATCACCTCTTACGGCTACTTACATGAGGGAAGTCGCATAAAGACTTGCTTAGTTAGACATTATTCCAACCTGTTTCACAGTGTTTATAGGCAACTCACATGATCTCTGTCAGTCTGATGTGCCACGGAAGGAATCCTAATGTACTGTCCACAGGACCAAACTTCAAGACTAAATCAGGATCGGGAAATCCATTTGTACCTGTAAGAACAAGTTAAAGTAGACTTTATCCAATTCACTGAATATTTAATTCTAAAGTCTAGGAATCTACTTTTTTATTGAATGCCTTTTTTGTGTTTGTTTTAATGAAGTGAAGCTCCTGAGGACAAGTTAACAATGAAAAGCTCAAGAGGACAGGCTGGTGTCGCACCACCCGAGCAAAACTTCAGCCGCCACTGCAGGCCCAGCTGGACTGTTACTTTTATGTCATGTAGTTTTCAAAGACCGAGTAAGGAGGTGATAGGAACATTTACATTGTTCTGAATAAGAGCAAGCCTTAATACTGCTGTTTAAACTGACTTGTTCTAGTTTTGTCTCGGCAAACTTGATTTTGGTCGCATCAAACACGCTGTACCCTGACCCACAGCTGCTGCAGGGCTAGCTCAACTCTGTGGAGCTGCAGTCGAGTAAAAGGACTGCTAACACAAAGACCACCAAAACCTAAGGAGGTTCCACTGAAGAACAGATTGGTATCACAGACCATCAAAGAAAACAAGTTATAAAAAAATAATACCCTCTCAGAAGAATTGTCTCTTTCTCAGTACGGAGCTAGGCAGACAATTTTAAAAACAACTTTTACTATGAAATTTCAGACACATTGTTGCAGGTGACATCCTTCTGGTTAGATGAGTGAGGAAGAACAGCACAGTATTATTTTTTCCCCTCCTGTTAAGTGGATAGCACGACCCATTGCAGGGCAGGGCTAGATAACACTCAAGGGCTTCATTAGGCACCCACGCTCTTACTACACATTCCTTAAAACCCCCATCACTGCCACTCCACTCCTGAGAGCATCCTCCTGGTCTTCTGAGGCTGAAGACAATCGACACTGTCCCCTACCACACCCTTCTGCCATGCCTGAGCTACGCCAGGCCAAAACTGACAGCAGTAAGCACAGAATTAACAGTCTTAGCCCAGCTTTCCCTGCTGATGCAGGCAGCACATGATAAGCAGTACAGTACCCCAGGGGGACCCAAGGTAAGCTGTTCTTCATGCACCTGCCTAGCTTGTCTGAAAAACATAAGGAGGATATAGACCAGTTGGAGCAGGAATAGGGGAGGCCACAAAGATGCTCAGAGGGCTGGAGCACCTCTGCTACGGGGACAGGCTGAGAGAGTTGGGCTTGTTCAGCCTGGTGCAGAGAAGGCTCCGGGGAGACCTTATTGCCCCTTCCAGTACCTGAAGGGGCTACAAGGAAGCTGGGGGGGACTTTTTACAAGGGCCTGTAGTGGCAGGACAAGGGGTAATGGGTTTGAATTGAAAGTGGTGAGGTTTAGATTAGATATCAGGCAGAAGTTCTTCCCAGAGAGGGTGGTGAGGCACTGGAACAGGTTGCCCAGAGAAGCTGTGGATGCCCCATCCCTGGAAGTGTTCAAGGCCAGGCTGGATGAGGCTTTGAGCAACCTGGTCTAGTGGAAGGTGTCCCTGCCCATGGCAGGGGGGTTGGAACTAGATGGTCTTTGAGGTCCCTTCCAACCCAAACCATTCTATGATTCCATGATTCCAGCAGTCATAACCCTATTGCAGCATTTTAGCCAAGTGAGTCACGATTACTGCATGCTATTTCTTGTTACCCCTTCCATTATCCATTAATTCTACAAGTTAGCAGATAAGCACTCTTGCAGTTAAGGGCAGGCATTATACAGTGTAAAGTTTAATACTGCCAATTTGCTCTGAACTTCATGTGTTAATTCTTTTCTCACTTGCTTAAAAATAAGAAAACAAACACACACCAAAGCCATCAAGAGCCTTTTACAAATCTAAGTTTAATTGCAGAGTAATTTAACTTTGGGAGTAAAAGAACAGGAAACTAAGATCCTATCAGATTTAGCTCCACCCAGGTTTTGAAACTGAAGCTAGAAATTTCAAAAAGTTCACATCCTCCCTTCCCAATGAATCATCACATTAGCAATCCTTTTACCAGAGGTGAAGAAGCTGTTTTCCCAAGCACGTGCATTTCTAAGGATGAGGTATTTAAGTACCAGTGCCTCGTGCCACAGTTCAAATCTTATCTCAAAGTTAAGAAAAGGAATAAAGCAAAAGCCACTTATGTGTTCAGAATCTAGCATGTTAGTATGAAAGAGCTTTGCAGGGAAGCAGTGAATACTTAGAAGTGGGGGCTCTGGAGGAAGTGGACAGCTTTACTCATCAGCTGATTCAGTAGCTGAGTATTCCTCAGCTGGCCAGTTCAGCAGCAGGATCTTCAACACTGCAATGGCTTTTCAAACAGGAAAAGGCCTTCCGAGAGCCCAGTTAATGCTAACATTTCCTTCTGGTTCCTATCTGAAGGAAAATGAAAATATACACTGTAGTATTATTGTCAGAATAGTCTATTCAAAACACAGCACTTTGCTTTCCACTCTGCATCCATTTCTCTGCCTAAACACAGCAACACTACAGATACTTTAGGTGTGGAAGCTCCCTCAGAGCTGCTAGTTACAACATTCTTCAAGTTTAGCAAACACAACCTCAGCCTGAGGAACAGACTGGGAAAAAAAAAAAAAAAGGAGGCCAAAAGACATGGACACTCAAGGGACAGGAATCTGGCAACATCCCTTCTAGGTCAGGAGTTCTGTGAGGGGAGCACAAAAGAATTTGTAGAGCTGATGGCACTACCCTTCTCCACAAAGACTTTACAGGGCAACTTGAACAGCCTTAACTGACAGTCATATTCTGTACTGGGAAGGCAGGCAGCAAGTAGAGACAATATTATAATGCAGCTGGCACCTACTTTTCTGAAAACAAGCTGGTTAGCTGAGGCATTGCTCAGAAGAAAGTACTGTTAACACTGAAGAAAACTCAAACTGTAAGAATCGGAGCATAGCTGAGTTAAGAACCAGAAAAGCCATATGACAAGCTAGAACCATACCATTTTAGGACTAGACTTCAATAATCACAACCTAAATATAAGCAGAAAGTTAAAAAATTACATTATACAGTATTTTAATCAAAATGTGGGAAAAAGCCTTAAATAAGTCATCATGAACACAAACCCTAAAAATATAGCTACACAAGTACTGCTTTTCATAACTCACTCTCAACTTAGATCAGTAACTTACAGATGTTTACATTCAGTACCTTTCTGTTAAGGATGCATAGAAACTAAACTTGCCTACAAGTAAAATGAGTAGTTTCATAAGCTGCTGCTAAAGAAGTCATGAAAGATTAATTCTTCACCTCCAACTGTCCCAAACATGAAAACCAAGCAAATTAATAAGCAGGACTAGTTATAGATAATATAATTTGTTATCAGCCACACAGATTAAGCAGCCTGTTCTCAAAGTTTGCAGTTTTGACAGATTAAAAGTCTAAGAGATTTCTCTTTCTGTGCTCAGCTAGCACACATGACTCACAGCAGTAAGTCCGATCAGTTTAAGGCTGGACCTAATACTTCAGCGTATCCAGACACTTAGACGCACAGATCATGAACAAGTGTTTGAGAAGCTCCAGTTAAACATCGCAGCCAAAGCACATACGTGGGTACCCACCATCACCAGTTCTTCACAAAATGAGCGACACTTCTAAAGAAGCAATTATTGATTTCCCTTAATTGCCCTTGGGGTATAACAGGATAGATGTCTAAGTTGCTTCCTAAAGTAAGTGCCTTATCAAATACATTTAATAATTCCATACAGCGAGAAGCTGTCATGCAGCATGCTGACAACAGGGATAGAATTCAGTTTGGAATTAAGTTGTCCAAACTGCCACGCTAGTCAGCCTGCAGAGGAATTCAGCTGACCACCCATTTGGAAAAAAATCACTCTCTAAAGTCCAATTAATGGGAGGCACAATAATATGCCTGCAGACATCCAATTTGAAGTGTGCAATCTGAAACCTGAACCCTGCCTAGCTAATTACAGCTGCAATTAACATGTGCGGATCACCTAGGAAAGCTGAGCAACTATTACTGCTCCACAGCACCCCTGGGGAAGTGGAGGCTTGTTCCAGATGTGAGATTAGCGCTGCCCTGCCCTTTTCATAGCTATTCCACGTAGCACCTCAGTGCTGAGTCAGTAAGCTGCATGAATTAGTAGCAAAGATAACCACGCTAGTGTGGGTTACACAGCGGCAGAAGATAAGCAGGTGCTCTATCATTTGCACTCAGGGTGGTAGTTTGGCAGCAGTAACAGCTTTAACAGCTGTAAGCAGATCTGGAGGCGACTCTCTGCCCATACCCAGGTTTGCAGCATGCTAACTTGCAGGAGGTTAACCTAAGTTACATTCATCTCTTTTCAGGTGACCCCAGCAATACTTTTCTCAGAAAAGTCATCTCAGAACAACTCTGAAAAACTGAGACTCTCCAATTTAGCTTAAGGTTTCCTTTTCCTTCTTAAAGAAAAAGCTCAAGAGGGAGTAAACCGGTATGAAATTTTGAGCAGAGGCCTGACAGCAATAGTCATAACATACCCAGACAGAGTATGCATCACGATGCATATGTTCCAAGTAATAAATATACTAGAAAACAAATCAGTTATGAATAGTCTTTCCCCACCTCCCCCTAGACCAGGTCATACTTACTACTTAATAAGTTGTCTAACACATTCACGTCCAGGTCTGTGTATGTTCTTTGCCGCTGTGCTACCAACTGACAGAAGTTCTGAGCAGCTTTTACTATGTCTGCTTTTCCATCTTCTGGAGACAGCACCTTCAATGTAGATTGGCAATTTAAAACTGAAAGTACAAAACACAGTTTAAAAGCAACAGAAATACAGTTGGTTTGAATGTGCTTTAGATATTCACAGGGTATGACTGAAAGTAACTTGCAGTTTACTTCATATATTACACAACTAGTTATAAACATAGTTCATCTCTTACAGTAGTAGATATTCTTCTGGATTTACTACTAAAATGCAAGTTTAAGGCAACAATTGTGAGGAGTCCTGTGAAAAGCAGTTTAACTAATGTCAGTCTTGAAATACAGGGTCTTGCAGGGAATTTGTACTCGCTCTTACACTGCCAGGGAAAGTAGTGAGAAGGTGCCTAGATAGTAAACTGGGGAGTGGTAAGCAGTGCAGGAGGGCTTGCAGTTCAGGGAAAGCAAAACAAAGATCCAGTTCTTACCCTAAGAGTGGAAGGTGTTCTAACACCTACTGTGGACATTCACGTGACAATGATTAAGCTAGGGCCTTCCCTGAATATGATCACAGATTGATGCAAGAGTTGCAAAATTGAATTGAGATTGCTACAGAGAAGCTAGGAACCAGATAATAGTACCAAAATTCACCTGTTAATCTTTAATTATCTCTGACTTAGGAGGACATTTCACAACAATCTTATTGTCTGCGCTACTGTGAGGCAAGAGTCTTCTCACACTACATGACTTGCACAACTGTCAGTTCTGATAAGGTACCAAGAGGTAAACTTACCAGGGAAGCTGAAGGCTACAGACAGCATACTAAACCCAGCTTGAAGCAACTGGTTGAAATGTGTGTGTGGGGACACAGACTTATACAGAACTTATGGCAGTTTTAACCAGATATTTAAAAATAACATTTCTTAAAACTGCAGAAACTGGCTACAAAGGACCGCAGAATACAATCAGAAGAATTATAAGAACACCTACAAAGCCTCAGTTAGTCTATGCAAAGCCACCACAGTGAAAATAATCTTTCCTTTATATCGACTTGTCACTTGTCCCGTGTTAAAGGATATTTCTCTAACAATATTCGTAAATGTAAGACATATCACTTTGCTTCTCAGAAGTGAAAAATTGCAGTTTAGTCTTCTAAGCTGGAGAGATGTCAGCTTGTTCAGTCCAAAGTATGAAGTGCCTGATCTACAATGGAGCCTTCTAAGTGTGAATGAAAAATTCTAAAGAGAACAGAAGACACCTCTGCTTTGCACAGTTTCCAGCACAAAAGGTTCCCAAGACTTAAATGTATTTTTTCAGTCAGCCAGTTCAAGCAGTCTTTCAGTAGTTCATTGGTTTGGATGTAAACAACCCAATTTAGGTAAACTCCAGCATACTTAGCTGCACTTAAGACATTAGCAGACTGTGTACCCTATTTTCTGATGGTTGCTTCACCTTTTGCAGGAAAAAAAGAGAAATAACATGAAACTTGGGTGTTTCCATGTAAATGCTAGTACCTTGACCCAAGTTGCTTATAAGGCAAGTGTATGCTACAAATTTCATACTTTGGACTTTATACTGGAAGACTAGCACATCCTATCAGCTCTTGTAGGGGAAGCAAGACTCAGCCAGCAGCATCTTAAATGCAGCTACAGGTACTATAGCTTGTGAAGTGTAGTTTTAAGTCTTTGAACTATGTGCTACAATTGTCTTAAAACATAAGGGTTGGAGTTGTTTTATTATGAGACCTGTTCAAATGTTACAAGCTGTAGTTAGGAGAGCTGTAAGGATCAGCCCATCCCTTTAAGGCAAAGGCCTGCTTTCCTAAGTACACGCTCGTGATTTACTACATTTTGAACAGACTTCTAGTGTTTGTGTGAGTCAGCATACCTCAATGAATACAGCAGTTAGTATGGAATAAGGAACATTAACCTTGAAACATATTCCTGTTTTCCACTTCTACTACATACAAAAGCTGCTATCAGAGTTGTGGGATTTTTTTTCCAGCTTAGGCCCTTTACTTTCCTGTGTCATTATACATTGCCATGGCAACCAGCAGTGTTGCTCTTTTCCTTCTCCCTCCCCGCTCTGAGGTGTAAATTTGGAAAGATGGAAGTATATGCATTGTTAACCTGACATCAATTCCCTTACACTTATTCCAGTGTTTTTTCAACCCTCTCAGCAAAAGAATTCATCTCACTGAAACAGTGGGGAGTAGAGCTACACTGATACATTAAGGGGGCCATGGCACAACAGTCGGGCTAAAGGGAAGATCAAACAACCCAGTAGTGATCACTGTGGGAAGGAGAGAGCAACACTTCACCATTAGTTAAGAACAAATAAGCACAACAGAAGTTTAATACTAGCCCAGGAAGGTTGCATGCATTCTGATAATCAGTGCTTAATGAAGCACTGCACACAGGAATGTGTTTAAGTAAAAGTAGAGTAATGATTTATGTACAGCAATTTAGAGTCATACCAGTCCTCCCTCACAATTCATCTTACCTTGATCAGCTTTGTCTTGATTTGCAAATTCCATGGTGTACTTAGAACAATCTAGTCCTAAGAGTTCCTGCTGCTGTTTTAAAATTTCATCCATCAATCTTGAATTATTCCTCTTGAAAATACCTTTAAAAAAAAAAAGTTGCATGTCAGCCAACTCCTACAAAGAGTGCTACAAAATAAAACTGACACCAGGCAGGAACAAATAAGAATCAGGTAGTCAGCACTGGTTCAGTACTCCAGTCAGTACTGGAGTTCACAAGTACGATAAGAATCCAAAGCAAATGCTACTGCACATGACTCATTTCTCATTTCAGTGACCTTGGAAAGACAATTCATGTGCTTTTGTTCCTCTTTCACGCAGCCTGGTTTAAGAAGCCAGCCGGAATTGCGCAAGGGATCGTTTAAGATTTACTTCATTGGAGACAGCAACACTCTACCAGCACAGGACCACCAAGTCAGATTAGCACCAAGTTTCTTCAATTCCCACAATGCTGTAGCAGCTTAAGTCTGTCACCCCTTACCGCCACACCACTAAGGCTGCAAGCTAACCAAGCAATAGCCAGAGGACTAAATCAGCGTATCACGCCACAGTAATTGTCTACTCTTATGCCATGGCCGATACCATGGATTTCCTAGTAAGAGGATTTAACAAGCTGTATATTGAAAGAAGTTAATGCAGTCCCCAAGGCCTTTTTATACTTACATGTTTATGGTAGACACATTTTGAGTGTAGGAGATGACAAAAACTCGCTTAACCAAACATGTTTGGGTTGCCGTTCTAAAATAAATTCTAGCTCTTTACAGATACAGCACAACTATTTCTAATTAAAAGCCACAGTAAAAATTAAGCGTTACAGCTTAAATATTTACAATGCAGAAGTGCAGCTAGGCATATTTGCTTAGGAACCGATAACACTTTTATCACGTTGTATTCAGAGGTTGTTAATAAGAGCCCAAGTTTCATTCAGAACTCGTATGTCAAGCACTTACGTTGACCAGTCTAAAAATGCCCACACAAAACACACTGAATTTTTATACCATTTTATGATCAGGCTTTTGATTCATCACTTTGACCTGATTCCGGGAATAGAAACTGCTACAAACAGCAATTTCCACATCAGTAGTGGTCAAACTGTGTATAAGCATTGGATTATGACCCTAATACATTAGGAGTTAGTTTAAATGTGAAGTGATACAACACGTTTGCTTAATATGCTAGTCTTTAGGCCTAGGGAGTTAGTATTTTTATACAGGCTTCATTAGAGGCTTTAATAGGTGTTAAAGCATTTGGGTTTTCTCCCATCCTGGATACTTCTGGCAAAAAAAAAAAAATTACTTCATTACACAAGTGTTAGTGATGCTTTTAACTGATTTCACATGTTGACAGACAAGCAAACCAGTAAGGCAACAACCTTGATAGAGAAAAAGCGTTAGAATATTTTCTCTAAGTCTAAAGTTAAATTACTATACTTTCTGCTCCTGCTTATTAGTGTATCTTCATACATATTAGAAACTGAGAATGCTGCTTTGAATACTTAAGATGAACTTGGAAAGACTCCACACCTGAATTCCAACTGAAGCACCAACCTTGACACATCTGCAGTGTGTGAAGCACATCAGAATGTAGTAAACATCCAAACTGACAGAAATCTTCGTTTAAAAGCAACCACATTTGGGAACTTCACTCCTTCAGCGTTTTGCCTCTCACTCACAAGAGGCTTTTATTTCGAATGTCTGTGATGGCAAATACAGTCCTGCCAGAGGCAATGTACATGGTCCAAATGCACATTTGACTTTAAGAATTACTTTATGTGGTTGTGGCTCAGACATACACTCACTTCTCTTACAGTATCTCAAAATCTCACTTGTTGACAAGGTTCATTTTTTAAGAACTTTGAAAATATATCCAAGTTAGTTCCAGAAGATGCTGTTGCCAATTTATACATACAAATACTATACTATTACTATAAATACAGTAACCAAGAGTGCATGAGTAGACCTGCTCATTAACAGAATTCAAGCATTCCTAGGCCATGAGAATTAAGTCTTGATTTAACATTATCTTCAAATTTTGTTTGGTCTTCCATGTAAGCTGAAAGCAAGTCCATAACATGATTTTAACATTATAGAGAGTTAAAGTTTGACAAGAGGTCTAATCAATGTTAACAATACAGCCGCTCTTTGCTGTTAAGTGGGAGAAAATGTCAGCCCTACTACTATTTCTAATGTGGACCACAAACATGAAATTGTCACCATTACTTCTCACTAGAAACAACTGTTGTTTTTGAAAAGCAGGAACAGTTATGTTCAAGCCAGAACTCTGGAGCCCCTGCAAGCCAGTGCAAGTGTGTATACCCCAGCAAACGTGAAATGCTTTAAGAACTGTGCATATTTAAGCACTATAATTCTCAAAGCAAGAGTATAAAACTTAATTTTTTTTTTTAACTACTCGGAACTTGTGAGCTGTTTCAAGGTACAATTCTTGGGTTTACAACACAAGCTGCAAACTTGCTTTTGATTACTAGTTTCAGTTAGAGCTGAGGCAAACCAGAAGCAGTTTAGCTTCCTGCAGTGCTCCTCCATTACACAGGTCTTTTCCAGGGCACATGCCTTTTGCTCAGTTTTATAACAGTTCCAAGCAGTCAAGTGTGGTGTTGCAGCATTTTAGGGTTAGAGGCTGACAGACATGGTTTGTGATTAAGATGCTTCTGCTGTACTCATAGCCAAGCTCGAGAGTGACAGGAATTGAGAACTGGAGGTGGTGTCAACCATTTCTTTCTCTGGGTAGACTACCACAGCCACCACCTGCTGATGCCTTGGTAGCACCTCCTAGTTCAACATTCTCACTTGCCCTGCTTTTTAAAACAGCAGAATCTGGTAAAACACAGAGTAAGAATCAGGTAAAACACAGAGTAAAAGTCTTCCCTTACAAGGGAAGACCTTAAGCAAAGTTAAGCCTAGGAAAGAATACATTTCCAAAGTAACTCAGTTACTGGCTTTTTCTCAACTCCCTTCCGGTGCCAACAAGAGAAGAGTCACAAGCTAACAAGTCCAAGGCATTGAAGTATTAACAGTTTGAGAAACATCAAATCATACCCAATTCAAATAACATGCATGCAAGAAACAACACATGAACAACTTCTGCCTACATCCTCATGTTGGATCATGATGGTTGGTAATGGAGGAGAGTAGGGTTTGAGCCATTACACTGCATCTCACAGGATAGGGAAAGCTAGAAAGTGTATTAGGCTTGTCCATTCCAACAGCCTAGAAAAAAATATAATCCAAGTCTGAAAGTGGCTGCAGTCACTTAGATTCCACCCACATTAAAGCCACTTAAGCTAGCACTAACCAAATAGGAAGAATTCTGTTTAGAACTCATAGGTGACCGTTCCTCCCACATTTCTTGTGGGGACATTCTGTACCAGAAGAACAGGAGCTTGTCAGCAGTAAACACAACAGATACTACTTTCATATTACCCACACCTATAAGAAGATTACCTTCTACAGATTAACATTATCCCTTTTAATAAAGATACTCTGAGGACTCCTCCCAACTCAACACCAAAACGTTAAGTTTCACATGGCTGAAGACCCACAGCAGAAGCCACATGATACTGGTATCTCACAAAAATGTTCTGGGGACACAAACACACAACATATTTATCTCCCCCAGTGAAGTGAACACCCTAAACATCCAGAAAGTGTTATAAATTAATCAGATTGGCTAACTCCCAAGAAAGCTAGAGAATACTGAAAGCCTACGTTTGGGGCTAATGAAATAATTTCTTTTGCTTTCTGCAGTACCCTATCCCTTCAAAGAATTTCTAAGAGAAAATTCACTAGAAAGCTAAACCCAGGATGAAGAAACCAAAGTTCTCCATACAGTCGCACTGTGGGCTTTAAGAAACCTTCAGCCTAAAGCATCTATTCAGAAGCCCCGAAGTGCTCAAACGCCAACATTCAGCAAGCTCCCAAAAAGCACTCTAGGCTTGTCCCAGATTACTTCAGGAAAATTTCACTGATGGTCAGAAGTAACACTCAAGCAAGCTCTTTTGAGTGGCAAAGTAACTTCAACAGAAGAAAGTTCAAGTACATAACATTGGTCAACGGCTTCTGCTCCCCAGCAGGTATTTTACCTGCGACTATACAACTGTAAAATGACTGCCTTCTGACTGTGAGAAGGCTGCATGATTTCCTCAGAGGTAAGGTCTTGACCAGCATGGCTGTATTTCCACCAAGCAGTAGGATTGGCAATGCAGAAATGCACAGAAATAAATTCTTGATTAAAACCCTAAAACTTCAGTTGATCTGGATTTAATAACCAAGTTGCACTCAGTAACATAAAGTTTTTTATGGCTTTGTTATGCTGCATACCAGTGAAATCTGGGAGAATGAAAAGGGCCCCCAAACACCAGAGCCTATCAAAGCATGCCACCCTAGGCCTCTGAGCCTACTAGGGCAGGTAGGGAAGCCTCAGTTTTGAGCACTGCAACTCAAAGCACCATATATTTGTTGCAGTACAAGACAGCTACACTATGGTCTTCTTGCATTCTGCAAAGACCTTTTTACCTCAGTCTTCTGGCATACCGATCTTCATGGATTCGGAGAGGACAGCCAAGACCTGAACATGTTCCACAAGTATTATCCAATACATTTATAACATGTTGGGTTCTGTAATTGCTCATAAGCACAACTCCAGCCAAGCTGCCCTCACAGTTACTGCTGCAGCTGCTCTAACATACTCTCACGTCAGCTGGGATGCAGCCCCTTATTTTGACACTGAAGAATAAACCTTCTATATAGCCATTTTGTTAAAACCACAGAAACTCATTACTATAAACAAGTGAACAGCTTATCTGGCACTTCATTTATACAAAGAAAGGGAAGCATGAAGTTCTTTGAAAAAGGGGCAATTAAGGACACGTTTTAAATTTAAGCCTTCTACAGGAAACTGACACAGTATTTCTTGCAGAAAACACAACCATGGAAGACCACTCTTGCAAGGAGTTTCCTGCTGCAATGAGAAAGATCTCAGTACTACAAATACGCAGTGAAGGAAAAAGAAACAAGTTAAAGTATACCTCTCCACATCTATCACAGATTCAGAGCATTTGTCATTGTGTTTCCTTCTACCCCACAGCCAGCGCCAGTGTGAACAATATATCTTCGTTAAGCCAATAGTCAGTACAATTGTATGAACACAGAACCTGACTGCAGCTACTCAGGAGACTAAAGGTAAGTCCTGTCACCTGAGAAGATGACAACAAATGCAGAGCACAGTTGAGGTTCACCCACTGCTACTGATAAGATTGAGCTCTCACTGACTTTGCCTTCACTATACTAGCGTTACTTCTGAGGGTTCCAGGCATCCCTGTAATTCAGAACTGGATTTAGCAACCACTGGAATGTCCTACCCAATGACAAGTCTATCTGGAAGAGATGTACGCTCAAACCTGGCACTGTAAGGCACCAAAAGAAAGGTAACATATCTGCTATTAGCAGAAGGTATATACTCAAGCCATATGAATGGCTACTTGCTCACTCTCTGAAACCAGTTTAAAAGGCTCAGCTGACAAGATGCGCTGCAAAAAGCAGTTGTGGCTGCTATCCCAGAAAACCCACTGAACACCCGTGAAGAACGTGCATGTGTAATGGCAGGCTATTCTCATCAACTCTGAAAGTTTGGCAAAAGCCACTGATTTCAAATGTTTTATTTGCTCTGCACTGCCTTGCCTTCTTCAATTCTGTTCCAGCAAACTGAAGTCAAGCTATCAATTACACCAAGGGCTAATAGAAGAATGAACTGCTGAAAAGAGATCATAGCTATATTTTCAGATTTCAAAACTGTTAACAAAAACCTCTAGCATGAATGTAACAATACATGGAAACAGCAGCAAATTAACTTCAAGGTACCTTTTTTCCCCTAAGCTGCTAACAAAGTTGTTCTGCAAGGTTATTTCAGCTATGCTGCTCTTCAGAGGACATGACCTTGTCATTTCTGGTCATCATATTTACAGTCTTGTAACAGACAGTCTTAGATCTGACCACATCTCAACAAGTGTGAAGAAGCAGAAGTAGCTTCTCGACAGCAAAGGCATCAGATAGTACAACAGCACTAGCCCCTCCCTGTCAGACGGGATCCCAGAGACAGGGGGCCACCTAAACACCGACTTCCAAATGAGGAAGTATTCTCCCACTGAAACACAACATAACCAAGTTCCACAACAACCCTGCAGAGATGGCCCGTTTAAGCTACTAAGAGACTGCTATTAAGCCCAATTTCCTAAAAAGATCTTAGAGAATTTAGTGAAAGTCAAGCCATTTGAGTCTTTTATCACATAAGAAGGTCATGACATGAAACAAAACTATTAATGGCAGTGGTTTAGACAAATCACGAATGCCTATAATGAGGGAAAGGCCTGCATACCTCAAATGCTTTTGCACACTTGACAATTAATAGATTCCATCTACTTACATGTGATGTGCTGTTCAGTTCTTCCTGAAAGAGTACTAGAAGACAACTATTACAGGCTGCACCTTTAACCTGACATAATCTACAGAGTTATTAATTAGTCTAATTTGCACAACATCTCTAGAATGCAATCAGAAGTGGCTCAAAACAACAGTTGAACACTGGTCTCCTACAGTCTCACCACTGACAGCAAGAGCACCGGGATCTTCTGCGTGAAGCTCTTCCTCTGGCAAGGACATAAACAGGACACAGGCCATTCCGTGTACTAGTAGCCCTTCTGAGTTGAAGCTCCGAACTCTGAGCTTAACTTTAAGATACTGAGTGATGTGGAATCAGTGCATCTGCAAGAGCATGAGTTCAGCAGTCTTACACCCAGGACCAAGTAATGAATAAAGTCACATAGCAGTTATGAAAAGACAAAGTTCTCATAAGCACTGGCTCAGAGTTAACTCAAATGTCAATTAGCACCAGCCCTTATACCAAATGCAGACCAAGCAATTGAATTTGACAACACAGACAGCACATAGGACAACACATTTGTGTTTAACTCCCTTTCCATCCCGTCTCTTCACATGAGAAAAATTACATGAAAATACATGACTACTCTCATTCATCCACTTCTGGAAGTTCAGACATGGCTCATAAACAGAGCTTCTAAGAGCACGCAGGCAGCCTAAAGCTCTTCTCTAGTAACAGCCCGTACCCTAGAGTCATGCGTTTCAGCCGCCAGCATTTCCTGTCAGCCCAGGGCTGGGGACAAGGCTCTACGAAGGGCCCAACATCTGCCTCCTCCAATACGCACACAGGATCGGGTCACCTCGACACAGGCAGGAGGGCACACGGGGCATTCCCCAGGTTTACCAGGGTCAGCTGCAGAGTCCAAGCGGCTCCAAAAGACGGGAAAGCAGCTGCCGATAGCGAGGCTGGCGCCCAGCTCGGGAAGATCCCGGGAGAGGGGCCAGGAGGAGCTCCCCAAGGCGGCCGCAACCCGTCCGGCCCTCGGAGCACCTCGGCGGTACGGCCTCCCGACACCCGCTGACGCGGCTCACCGTTATGGTCGTAGACGCTGACGTAGGAGATGCCCACCGCCATGCACCACACCACCAGGCTGGCCATGTCCGCGTAGCTCGGCTCCTCCTCGGTCACCACCAGCCCCATGTGCACCGG